GCCTCTACCAAGAGCATCCGAAGGGAAGGCCAGGACCCAGAGGGAATGTCAGGCAAGAGTCCAGGACGCCTCTACCAAGAGCTCCTGAAGACCACATGCTGCCCAAGAGAACAGGCCAGAACCCCAGCCCGCCTCTATCAAGAGCACCTGAACGGGGCGGCGCTGATCACACATATATAGAATATATGTACTTAATCTATGTAAAAAGGACCTTAGGTTGCTTCTCCCAAGAGCACCTCACGGTCCTAATCAGATCCCAGTGTTCAGAACGGAGTGAGCAAAAGACTGTTCTGACACGTCAATCAGATAAGATTGAGCAAAGGTGGAGGACGATGCCCAGGACGCCGCCTGGCAAACGTCCGCCACTGTGGCCCCCCGGAGCAGAGCCGAGGAGGCTGCCACCCCCCGTGTGGAAGGCGCCCTGAATCCCACCGGGGGAACCAACCCCTTAGCCATGTGGACCGCTCGGGAAACCCATTGCGCCAGCCGCTAAGGGGACAACGGGACGCCCTTGTTCCTAGGACCCAAACACACAAACAGCTGGTCAGAACGTCTGAACGCAGCTGTGACGTCCAAGTAGCACCTAAGCATCCTGATAGGGCACAACAGATGCCGCTCATCCTCCTCAGAGGCATGAGGGGGCAGATAAAATGGTCTGAATCTGATAACCCTTGACCTGAAGGTCGAAGAAACGACCTTGGGAAGAAAGGCTGGATTGGGCCAAAGCTCCACCAGACCATCTCCAGCTCCAAACGATAAGCAGGCCAGGCTGTGCATAGATCTCCCGCCCTTTTGGTTGACGCCAGGGCCAACAAAAGGGCAGTCTTGAGGGCCACACTCCGGACTGGCCCAGGCCGAACGGGGGCCCCGACAGTCCCCTCAGAACCACTCTCAGGTTCCAGACCGTAGGTGTCCTCCTGAGGACAGGCCTCTTCCACGGCTCGTCCGGGAGGGCCCACGGCTCCAGTGCGAACCAGAGCGGGCACTGAGCGTTGTCTGCACTGGCGAAAAGGTCGACTACCGGGCGACCGAACCACAGCCAGACCTCTTCCGCTATTCTCGGGTCCAGGCCCCACTCCTCCTTGAGTGGGCCCCCTTTGGACATTATGTCTGCCCCTGTGTTCCAATCCTCCGGAACGTGGTGCGCTCTCAGGGACTGCAGGTGCCCAGAGCAGAAGGATCGTTGTCAGACGATGGAGGGACGGGCCCCCCTGCCTGTTCAGATACGCCACCACGGTGGTGTTGTCCGAACGGACCATTACATGTCTCCCCTCCAGACGTGGGGCAAAGTGCTGCAGCACCCTGCGGGCCACATCAATGTGGCGAGGCGGGCCCGACCAGGAGCCCCCGACTAAGAGTACCCATAGCGTAGCCTATAAGGGGCGGAGCACCATGACGTAGAACCAACTCTTTACTCCTGGAAGAGCAGATAACACATTTAAATTATGGTCATCCAGGGGATTGAAAATGATTGGAGATCTCTATTCACAGAGAACATCTGTCTTCATGTTATTTGATGAACTTAAAGCTTTCAATACTTACAATTAAGAATCTTTGTGAATATGAATCAAAATATCAACCACGTCCCCTTGTCACAATTAGAAAAACTGTTAATAAAGGACAATTTTAGGAAAGGTATAATTGCAGAAGTATATAATCTGTTATGTACTAACTCAACAGAAACTTCCAGTAATAAGTTTATGTATTGGAATGAAGATCTGTGTATAAATATCGAAGATTATGACTGTGAAAAGGCATGTAGCAAATGTCAGACAATGTCTATCAATAGCCGGCTAAGGGTAATACAATTCAAATGGTTAATGCGTATTTATATTACACCAGTAAAACTAAATAAATATACCAGACACATGCATAAAATGTGGCTACAAAGGAACTTTGATACATTGCATGTGGGAATGTAGTCACATACAATTATTTTGGTCAGAAATAAAACAATTGATTGAAAAGGTATTTTCAAAACGCATTGACTTGGATCCTATTTTGAACTATTTTTACTTTCACTACATTCTAAATTGTATAATCTTACTAAAGAAGAAGGAGCATTTCTAGATATTGGCTCATTAATAGCGAAAAGATGTATAGCTTGAGCCTTGAAAAATGCATATGCTTTCAAGCCTTCCTTTAGACAGGATTGCCTATATCCACAGGGGAAAGCAAAATGTTTTTGAGAAGATTTGGGGACCTTTTGTGGACTTTGTTCAGGACTTGGAAATAACTGAGGACTTGAACAATTTTTAAAGGACAACTCAACCTCAAATCCACTTTTTTTTGCTGATAAACGGTATAAATGAGTGTCCAATAGTGTTGTCTACATATCCTGGTCAACTAATTGTCACTTTGGTGCAAATTAGTTGAAAGATCAACTTTCTGCCTAAAACCGTCTGTGAGGCGCCATCTGCAGGTGACCTGTATTACTACATTTGAATTTTGAATCTGGCGCCAACACTGGCGCAGCAGTAGCTGACGTCTGAGGTTGTACCTGACGTCAGCAGCCTCGCCGCTCTGGGGTATATAAACGGCCCAGTCTCGTTCACGCCCCCGTAGCGAGTTGGAGAAGGAATAACAGAAGATTTTCATTGATTGTCAGGTTTGCGATTAGTTATAGTATTTAGTAGGGGTGGGAACCTAAGGGTACCTCACGATACGATACGATACACGACACAAAGCTCACGATAACGATAATATCACGATAACGATATTACGATAACAATTTTATCACGATACGACGATTATTGATATATTGGTCAGAAATATACAAAATGCCAATTTATGGCATAAATAAAAGAAAAAATCCTCTATTTCATGGTTAATAGAATGGAGATGCGTAATGTAGCCATATATTAAGTATTGATACCAATTCAAAAAACAAAACAAAAAATCAAAATCGATATCGATACTTGGCAAATGCATATCGCTAATCGAATCGCGGGAGAAAATACACCCTTAGTATTTAGGTAGATTTTTATTTGCATAGCTGTATTGTAGATTGTAGATAATTGTGTAGTGTTAATAGCTTTGTTGTTGAATATTGTAGTATAGTAATTAGTTGCTTTTATTGTTAGATTAGTTAGCTGAATTTAGCTAAGGACTTGTTAGTATTACTAGTTCTATATCGTGTGCAATTTCATTGTACATTGTTTATTGTACTTGTGTACAATAAATACTACTTTATGTTTGAGCGTGTGTTAAATTACTGTCTCTTTTGTGCACATTGGGGTATCATTTCTATCCAAAATGCCTTCGGGGACAAGGAGGTGCAGTGGCCACAGTTTATTTTGGCAGTTTAGAATGTTATAACTATATGACCCCCACGACATATGTATATAGTTTATCTTGGTCTGGGTTCATACATAACATGTTAAGACAAAACTGTCAAGAAAAACACCACAAGGCTACCTGTGACAAGCAGTTCTTACTTTTTATTCCACTCTAATCTATATCATTCAGAAACAGGCCCCATTCTGTGGCAGTCTGCTACAGCAGAGGCAGCTGCCGGTGGTGCCCGCTAACAGCTAGCTAACAGCTAGCTATACTAGCGGCGCTAGCTTTTAGCCGCTAGCTCTACTAGCGGCGCTAGCTTTTAGCCGCTAGCTTTTAGCCGCTAGCTTTTAGCCGCTAGCTCTACTAGCGGCGCTAGCTTTTAGCCGCTAGCTCTACTAGCGGCGCTAGCTTTTATCCGCTAGCTCTACTAGCAGAACGAGCTAGTGGCTCAAATTGATAGGGCTGGGGGCCGCCGTCTGCCTCCTCTCTCACAAGAGAAGTCTTCCACCTCCTAAGACCGCACAGAATCTATAGAGCTGGTGTCTGTGTTCTCTTTCCATTTTTGTCACAGCCAATGCCGATGTCAAGTGTTTATCACAGCTTAGACCCACCCAACATTCACCCCCCCCCCCCCCGTCTGTCCCCTTTTGTCCTCCAGGCTACGCCCATTTGGAGGGAGATTTGAAAAGAAAATGTGAGTGACGTAAGCCTCCAGGAGGGGGGATGAGAAGTCCTTTAAAGAACCCTGTAAGTAATGACCAATGTGAATTTAATACATGTCCTACGAAAAGCTTTTGTTTTGGGTTTATGTTATTTTGTATCTTAATTTGTACTGTAAATAACATGGTGAGACATTGTTCATAAGAGAGTGTGTAACTAACTAATGTAACATGCCAGAAAATTTCAATAAAATATTTATGGAAATATTATAGATAATTATTGGTCTATTTGTTTTATTTTATAATGCCATATGACTAAATAAAACTATGTATGTATTAATATATTCGAATTAGTCTATATTAAATATGAATAGACAAAATCCAGTTTGAATATTTTTTGTTGTTGTTTTTTTAGAGCATTTCACCAAATATATTCATCAATTTACTTTAATTCACCATCTATAAAAGACTTGAATCATGATCAGGTGAATATTGAACCGAATCATAGTTGGTGGAAGTTGAGTAACGTAAATAAATGAGATCAGCAGGTATATGCAAGAGGTGTTTACAGGAGGTGTATCCAAAGTGAATGGTTTTCAACAGAGATCTCTCGCTCAGAGTGCCGCTCAGTGGGTTTGTATTTTTGCTCTGACCCATACAAAATTAGAGGGAACATTGCCCGTCATGGTGGTTTTTTTTCACTGTGATTTTCTATGTGGATAATTGTGCATTGACTAGATGGATAGTTGATGACACACAATTGATTACAGGCCTTCAAGTGCACTGATCATGTATTTATTCCTATATCTGTGTTGCACATACTTTTCCTGATAGGGACTCACTCCCATGAAAATGTATAGGGATTTTGCACACTGGATGTACTGTTTCCTTAAGTAGAATCCTTTTTTGTTGGTGTATTGATTGTATTGGAGTAGGTCAATATTATATTATTATATACTGTATTTTTACCAATCATATTATTATCATCATTATTTTGGATCATTATATTTATAAGTTTTATATTATTATTATTCTTATCATCATCATTATTATCATTACCTGCAGTGCGTCCCCAACCTGAGATGCTGCAGGTGTGGTTGGGCTGGAATAGATGGGGGGTCCAGGGCACACAAACGGGGCGCACAGCCGGATTCTCACGGAAACACTCCTGCTTGAATGGCAGCTTCTTCAGCTCCACCAGAGCAATGTCGTTTTCGTACGTTTGACCGTTGTAGCTACAGATGGGAGAAAACATCAAAGAAACATGTAATCAGATTTGTATGTGAGGAGAATTGTGTGTGACTTTTTAGAAATTAGATTCACAAGATCTACTACCGAAAGCTGTTATATCAATATTTATGTGAAAACCGCTGATTATATTTGTGCAATTAAAACATGATCTTGAGAATAATGACTGTGACGGAGCACGTCAGTCTATGTGCGTGTTAATGGAATATTAATGAATGGGAAGTGTAATCCCAAATCCCAAGTGGCTGAAATACAGGCCACTTGTGTTGGGATGTTGTATGTTAATCTACTGTTGGGGCATAGGAGTTCACCTTTAGCCTGAGGCTATTCCTTATTAGGCCCGAACCCCAACAGGGGTAAGAGGGCCTATTGCTTTAACGAGTATTGCCTGTCATAAGTCACAATCTCCGGGCGCACCGCAGCGGCGCTCCCCAAACACTGATAAATCCATCTCGGAGGCACAGAATGGCTTTACTCCTGCTGTAGTACACAGTGAAATGATTGAGGTCCTATGGAAGGGTTGGGTGACTTCAACTGTCTTCTCCCAAGCCCGACGGTGCGTGCCCAGACACTGATAAATCCTGCTGTAGCGCCCTGTGAAAAGAAAGCGGTCCTATGGAGGGAGCGGGTGACCTCATAATGTTGAGGTGATTCACAAAGAACACAACAGTTGTGTTTGTCCGCTCGTTCGCCTTGAAACAATTTATAATTTGTATTATACGTTACCAGGGAAACATATATTGTTTTGGCTCAAAGATTTTTGGGAAAAAAATCCTTTTTTTTTTTTTTTTTTTTTTTTTTCTGCTCTTTGAACCTTAATGGTTCCACATTACGCTCTTCTTCATGTTTCACAGTCCATCCTATGCACATGTTAATAATTTGAGTGATACACCATACAAACCATACAAAACAACCTTCAAAACTTATATATGAGTGATGTCACCTCAACTCAAACAGGCTGATCCAAAAAGGAGTCATGCTCCTCGCCTCCCCCCGCCTGCGCGGTGATGTAGCCTCACGCTGCCAGTTGTTTATCTCCAACAACCGAAGTTTTTGAGTAAGTTCAGTTGTTCTGGAACAGTCTTAGTGAAGTGTTGCAGATGAACAAATTCATTCAAACAAAGGCAGATCCCTGTGTAAAATAATCACCTCTTCGGGCCAAATAGTGCGTCACATATATACAACAAAAACACATTTCCTCCGAGTTGACAAAAGCAGAAAAACAGCATAGTTCCACGTGGTGTCCGCAGGACCAAACCACAGACATACGCTGGACTCAGGAGCTGGATGTGCGCCTTGATTTGCTGTTTCGATTTGTCATTCACCACCTGGATTTTAGCATTATTATTATTATTTGTAATATTTTTGACAACAAACAGTATATACAGTATATTGTGCATTGTTTTCCCTGTTTTGACAACAGTATTTAAGAACCATTTTAAATAGAAAAAACGGGCTTCTGCGTGTCATAATTGTCAATGTTGAAATCGTCATAGACTTGGACTCGGGCATTTTGCTGCCTCTCGATGGTGAAATAGAAAGATCTAAAGCAGAGAAAGTTTAAAGCAGAGAAAAGTCAAAAAGCGTATCATGGCACCTTTAATTTGAGCCCCTGAACATAAATGAAAAGTTGACAAATTTTGCACAAAATTCAGAACATGTGGGGAAAAAAAAGAGTGTGTTTATTTTTATGGGACTAAAAAAATGGCAAAACAGCGCCCCCTACAAAAGTCTATTTACAGTACATTGCTCCTATGGGAGGGGGTCCGAGGTCAACTTTGGTGTACAGCCACAAAATTCGGTACACATATTCCTCAACTCAAGACATGAAAAAAAAAGTTATTATGGCCACGCCCCCTGACAAACTGGAAGCCTATTAAAATAATTGTAAAATGGAAAAAACAAAAACGGCGGTTGGAAATCAACTACTTCTCGGCCGTTTTACCGATTTGCCTCAAAATCACTCCACATCATCTAAACAAATGTACCATAATTAGTGCTCATAGAATTTTTTATCACTTAAACTGTATTCAAGAAGCGGAGCAGCAAAATTTGCCTTTTTTTTCTATTTTTGACTTTGACTCTGAAAACGGCAGCAAGTCCTAAGTAGCTCTGAAACAGTTGTTGTTTTGTGCTTTACAATTTTTATTTGTATTGCTTGTGTGACTGCAGTACAGTGTTCATGGTTTTGCACTGGTCCGACTCTAGGATTGGTGGGAACAAGATGGCGCCGTGTCATGGCGCCGCAGTGAGAGCTCTGGTGCGCACGATCTGTGTTTTGCAGTTTTTCGTCTGTGAGTCACTTGCTGCTGTGAGATATGACCGAGAAACACTTCTGTACATTCGGGACCATGCGTGTGACGGGTCACTCGTCTTGCCCAAACTGAGGTGCATTAACTTCCTCGAGTGTCCCACTCAAGAGGCCCGTGGAGCACGGCAGGCGGGCCGCGGCGGTGGCCGCGAGGGGACCGGGCGTCTCCGGCGTTCTCTCCGCGGTGTGGAGCTGGGCACCTCGAGTCGGCGAAGGAGGCGCAGACACCGGGGAAGGCGAGGCGGTCTGCTCGTTCGAAGCCGCTCCTCCAGGACCGCTCTCCCCTCCATCTACCTGGCCAACATCCAGTCTCTGCCCAGACGGACGAGCTCCTGTGTCGGGTCCAGAGCCAGGGCCAGGCCCGGGACTACGCCGTGTTCTGCCTTAGCGAGACGTGGCTCCACTCGAACGTCCCGGACTCTGCTGTTCAGCCCCCGGGATTCACCGCTCACCGCACGGACAGAGTGAAGGAGACCACGGGCAAGGCCAGAGGCAGAGGTGTGTGCTTTTTAATTAATCAGCGCTGGTGCACGGACACTCGAATCGTGAACCAAACATGTACTGCCAATCTGGAATGCCTGGTCTTGAGCTGCCGCCCTTTTTATCTTCCTCGTGAGTTTTCAGTGATATTTTTATGTGCTGTTTACATTCACCCACGTGCGGATTACAAAGTAGCCCTACAGGATCTGAGCGAGATTCACAAACATGAGTCTGCTCATCCTAACGCAGTCATCATTGTTGCTGGGGATTTCAATAAATGTAATTTAAAGACTGTACTCCCGAACTTTTACCAACATGTGACTCGAGCTACAAGAGGAGCACATGTTCTGGATCACTGCTACAGTAACGTGAAGGGAGCTTACAGGTCCAGTTTCAGACCTCCTTTTGGAAAGTCTGACCACTCCTCTGTTCTCATGCGGAGGGAAGAAGAAGGAAGAAGTCCTTCGTATACTCAGAGGAGCAGGGAACATAAACCAACCTCTCGCACTGTGCAGTGTTGGTCTGAGGAGGCTAGCATGAAGCTACAAGGTTGATGCTACGGACTGGTCTGTGTTTCAGTCAGAGGACGTCAATGAATTCTGTGACGCTGTGTCTGGATACATACGCTTCTGTATTGACTGCTGTGTCCCACAGAAGGTCATTAAAAAACATTTTAGTCAAAACCCTTGGATGAACGCCAAAGTGAAACTAAAACTTCATGAGCGTGCGTTGGCGTTTCAATCAAATGATACAGTTGCTTATAAGCTATCCTGTTACTCATTGAAACGTTCTATTAAATCCGCAAAGCGCAGTTACGGGGACAGGTTAAAGAGTTATTTTGAGGAAGATGACCCTCGGTGCATGTGGAACGGTATTAAAGCCATCACATCATGGAAACCTAGCGCTGGGAAAATTGCATCTGTCGGCCGAGCTCTGCCAAACGAGCTGAACACGTTCTACTGTCGCTTTGAATCCGCTGATGCCTGTCCTACTGTATTCCCTGAGTGCTTCAATCAAGTTGCCTTCACCGTGACTCAGGAGGAAGTCAGGCGTGTCTTGTCCAGGACCATAGTCCGGAAAGCCCCAGGCCCGGACGGCATCCCTCCTCGTGTCCTGAAACTGTGCTCTGAGCAACTTGCCCCTGTGCTAACAGACATTTTTAACCTGTCGCTAAGGAACTGTACTGTGCCGAACTGCTTTAAAGAGTCGACCATCATTCCAGTTCCTAAGAAAACTCCTGTGACATGCCTGAATGACTATCGTCCTGTGGCCCTCACGTCTGTTCTTATGAAAACTTTTGAGCGGCTTGTGCTGGACTTCATTAAGAGCCAGATCCCTGTGAGTGTTGACCCGCTCCAGTTTGCTTACAGACAGAACAGGAGTGTGGAGGATGCCATCTCCTTTGCTCTGAACTCTGTCTACAGTCACTTGGACACTAGTAAATCTGTCGCGAGAATGCTTTTCATAGATTATAGCTCTGCTTTTAACTGCCTTGTCCCAGGTAAACTGATTGAAAAGCTCATGTCTCTCGGTTTAAGTGTTGCCATGTGTAAATGGATTTTTAGCTTTTTAACTGACAGATCTCAGAGAATGAAAATCAATGACTGTTTTTCTGATGTTGTTTCTGTGAGCACTGGTTCTCCTCAGGGATGTATTTTGAGTCCTTGCTTGCTTTTTACTTTGTACACTCACGATTGTGTGTCCTCCTCTGACACCACCATCATCGGTCTCATCAGTAACAATGATGAATCCTCGTATAGAGCAGAGATACAAAATGTGGTTCAGTGGAGTCAAACTAACAACCTCCAGTTGAACGCATCGAAAACATGTGAACTGGTCTACGACTTTAGTCGCAATAGTTCTCATTTGCCTGTCGTAATCGACAACTCCCAGGTGCAGATCGTAGAGGAGTGCAAGTTTCTGGGTTTAACTCTGTCTAACCTGAAATGGGTTAAAAACACTGACAGAGTCGTTAAGAAAGCTCGTCAGCGTCTCTACTTTCTGCGTAAACTTAGAGAAATTACCACTAACTCTAAGACTCTGCTTAACTTTTATCGCTGCACCATTGAGAGTTTACTTGTTGGTTCTGTGTCTGTGTGTTTGTTTACAACTGTACATTAGCAGCAGTATGTTTACAACTGTACATTAGCAGCAGTATGTTTACAACTGTATATTGGCAGCTGTGTATTGCACATT